AATTTTATCAATAATAATTTTTTTTTTAAATCTGCAAAAAAAACAAACATAAAAAGTTTAAATTTTTAAAACAAATTTTTGTTTAAAATATTGTGTATTATAATTGTTTTAACTTAAAATATTGTGTTTTAAAATTGTTTTTACTTAAATTAATTTATGGCACATGCTGGTTTATGATTTTTTAAAACAACTTTATTACTTGAGAGTATTATTAAATAGTTAAAAAAAAGAGTTATGGAGTTAAGTATGTGTTTTCATATATACATACAGATATATATATATATATATATATATATATATATATATATATATATATATATATATATATATATATATATATATATATATATATATATATAAGGCTTGGTCGGGAAGCACTCGATGATTGACCATGGAAATAATATTTAGTTGCGAAAAGCTGGCCAGATTTTTAAGTCGTTTTGAGAACATTTCAAAAACAAACAAAAAAGCGCAATAAGATTAACTGGACCAATGAGAGACTTCAAAAAAGAGTTTAAAAAAAGGCGAAAAAACTTTAAGCAAAATAAACACGATTAGAGCAAATATTTTTGAAACGACGTTCTTTTTTTTATAAAATTAAGTGACATTTTTTATATAAAGCAACAACTTACTATTATTGATTGTTTAATTAGGAAACAAATGTTCTTCGATTTATCAAAGAGTATATATAACTTTTGTTTTTATATTTATGTCTTATTTCCAGTGCTGGATTGAGGAGGTAGGGGAGCAATGTTGGGGGCCGCGAAATAGTCAAGAGGTCCATTCGGTATTTTTTTTTAATCATTTTTACGCTGTGGCACATAAAAAAGGCCACCAAAATAATGCAGTCCCCGGCCCTGAAAAGTCTAACAAGATTCAACCAATAAAACTAACGCTAGATGATTTATTTATAAATAAAAAAGTTTTTTCGATAACTGTTTTATGCTTCACGTAGTTTAAAAAGTTTAACACATTTGAAACAATTTTTCTTAGTAAGATGAACAAATAAAATAATTAAATCATTGAGTTACTGTAGAAATTCAATTAGCTAAATTGAAATTAACTAAAAACGTTAAATTACTATGTGAGGAAGAAGCGGAACTGCTTCACAATAACGCTGAAGATGTTTAATGAGTGGGTTTTATAATTTTAAGAAAAAAGTAACTTTAAGTTTAAGTATAACGAGTTTGTAAGAATGGCTGAAGCAAAAATAATTGAAGTTAGTAAACCAATTTCTAAAACTTTTCTTTCTTGGGGGAAAGAATCAGTTATCGTGTGCACTGAGGAAAATTGATAAGTGGTTAAAATTATTTGTATTAACTTTGAATATTATTAATAATTTCATTAAAAACGCAGTTAATATTGAAAGTATTTTTGTTTACAAAATCAATCGCACAAATTGCTTTAAAAGATTACATTTGAATAAAATACACATTAGACACCAGCAATTTCTGGAAATTTATCACTTCAAGCTGGAGTAATTACCTTAAAAAAAAATAGGAATTTTGGCGAAAAAAGTAACTTTTAAAGTTGAGTAGAAGCTATCTTATTTTAAAAATAAGCATTAAAATTCCAGCTTAAAAGATTTCTTATAAATCGCCATTTTTATTGGATATATCGGGGTGTTCACTCTGCTAGATAAACAAAAAGAACTAGAAAGGACTGTTTTAAAAGGCATACTAAAAAAACTGAAAAATATATTTTTTGTGCATAGTTGATTCAATGATTATAAAAAATACATTTTTCAGTTGTTCAACTGTGTTTTTTAAAAATAGTTTTATACATTTTTTTAAGTTTGTTTTGAGTTGACACCCTGTTTATTATGACATCCGGCCTTAAAGAAATGTAAACAAACCAAAAAGTAGAGTATCAAATTGTAGATTGAACCTTGCGAAAGCGTTTTACTGTTATTTTTAAGGAGTTATAAAATCTTTAATATATAATTACTATATTATCAAGCCTAATTTATTACAATAATAAAAAAATGCCTCCTGTAAAAAGAACTAGACGGTGTAATTTATATAGCAGTGAAAATGACTTCTGATGCTAGCAGAAAATTTATTAACCTCAAGAAAAGAAATGCTTATATTCTAGCTAAATGCCAAAGTCAAAAGAAACGAAAATATTTTAGAACAAAGAAAGAATATACATTGTAATTTGTTATCATTTCTTTAAATTAATCTATTTGGTAATATGTTTGTTTATTATTATTATTAGTTTGGTTCAGCAGTAAAAGTATAATATATTTAGTAGTAGTCAAAAGGGGCATAATAAATTTTTTTTTTTGGGTGAGTGGGGGGGGGGGGGGAGAGTCACCACCCGTAAAAATAGTTTATTTCTTTTGCTTCTGTATATTAGAGTAAATCCTAATAAAGAGTGCTGCAACAACATAACATTGTTGTTTATGTTTAAATCCGTTTTTCAGTTAATGGCTAATGATTATTGAAAACCGCTTATTGTTTTAGTTATTTTTCCAATACCCTAAAACAACCTTAAAAATTTAAGTTAAAATTATTTATACAACTTATCCTTATAAAGAATACATTTATAAAAGTTTTTGTGCGTTAACGTTTCTAATATTTATTGTGTGACCTCTTGAAGTTTTTACTTTTTAATGATAATATATCATAAATATAAGACCAAATAAGATAGAATCGGAAATACTCGAACCTTTTATATTTTGCCCATGTTTTTATGGTCTAAAGAAGGTACTCCAGCTTGAAGTAATTGCAATTTCGAAAAAAAGTTAAAAATTACTGGTGTCTAATACACATACATAAAATTAAATGCACAAAAAACACATTCATAAAAATACATTAAATAAAAAAATACATTACATACATAAAAAATACATCCATTATATAAAAATAAGAATATACTAATAAAACCTATAATATATTTAGAAAACGTTGACAAGTTAAAAAAGTTAAATTTAAAACATTTATTTTTGTAAACAAATAATGTTAGTTTTAAACATTTATGTGGCTCCGAGAATTAAAATATTAGTTTGTTTGATAGTATATTCTTAAAACAATTTATGCTAGAAATCTCAACGAAAACATAACAAAATTCAAATAATACAATTATTTAAAATATTTCAACGGAATACTCTAGAAATTTCGGTTAGTATTTTTTGAACCAATAGAATTAGATTTGGCGGGTTTTTTGTGTTCGCAAATATTCTTTTTTTATTTTCCGCACTAAAATGAGAGCATTCGAGTTTATGCATGTTTCCATGTATGTCCGTAAAACAAAATATTTTAAAATTTACGATAAAATAATGAACTTAATTAAGGAAACATATATAAATTTAAATGTTCTCAAAATGACTAAAAAATCTGGCCGGTTTTTCGCAATTAAATATTATTTCCGTGGTCAGTTATCGAGTGCGATCGCACCGGCTTCCCGACCAAGCCTGATATATATATATATATATATATATATATATATACATATATATATATATATATATATATATATATGTACATTTCAACATCTTCACTTTCAACATGACTGCAAGCAACCGCTATTAAAGTTGGAAGTTACTGGACGAGAGAAGTTGAAGTTTATAAAACAAGATAAAAATTAACAGACAACTTAAAAGATTTCAAATTTTTGGAGCACTTAGGAACAGCCACAGTAAAAGATTGAGGCTTAATTGAATGACGAGTAACACAAGAATGAATTTTAGTAGATGGCATGAGACGATAGCACTTTAGAGCAGTACTCATTATAGTATTTATAGATTTGAAAGAGATTTACAAAGATGAAGAATAGAATTCAGAGTAAGAAAGTGATGAGCATAATAAAGAGATGCAACCTCAGCAGATACTAATTTTACAATCGATTTTATATATGGTTTCCAAGAAAGATTGGAAGTAAGAGTTAATCCTAGAAGATGAAGGGTAGATGACTCATCAAGTACATTACCGTTCATAAATATAGGAAGAGTAATTTTTACCAACTGAGCTATTCTGGTTCTTAGCAATCAGATAAAGTTGGCTTTGTATCAAGAAAAGAATAAATGGTAGTATCATCAGCAAACAATGCCACCTTAGATGTGAGAATTTCTGGGAGATGGGTAATGTAAATTAAAAAAAGTATAGGGCCAAAGAACTTGGCATATACTATTACTATCGCAAGAATACATTATAAGTTGAATTACTATTGCGAGAGCTATATATTATAAGTTAATTACATATTTCAGATAATAAACTAAACTATTGCTATTTTAAATCAGAATATAATTTGTATACAGTGACCCTTAAATGTTGAATCCGAATAAACTTTATTTAATTTACTAATAATACAAATTATAGATTACTTACTATTACTTTACTAATATGTATTTAGTATGTATAATAGTTATAAATATATGCATGTATAATACAAATAATTATGCACATGTATGCATTAGTATGTATAATAGGTATAAATATATGCATGTATCATACAAATAATTATGCACATGTATGCATTAGTATGTATAATAGGTATAAATAAATGCATTTATAATACAAATAATTATGCACATGTATGCATTAGTATGTATAATAGGTATTAATATATGCATGTATAATACAAATAATTATACACATGTATGCATTAGTATTATATTATAGGTATTAATATATACATGTATAATACAAATAATTATGCACATGTGTACATTAGTATGTATAATAGGTATTAATATATGTATGTATAATACAAATATTATGCACATGTATGCATTAGTATGTATAATAGGTATTAATATATGCATGTATAATACAAATAATTGTGCACATGTATTCATTAGTATGTATAATAGGTATTAATATATGTATGTATAATACAAATATTATGCACATGTATGCATTAGTATGTATAATAGGTATTAATATATGCATGTATAATACAAATAATTGTGCACATGTATTCATTAGTATGTATAATAGGTATTAATATATGTATGTATAATACAATCATAATTATTCTTTAAAACAATAATTAAAAACCTGAACATCGCAGTCAGGTGACTGTAGAAGAGCAATGACCAAAGGAAATCCATTTTTTTCAAATATTTCAGCTTTACTGACATAATCCTCTGAAAAAAAAATCCAAGATAATATCTATAGCATTATAATTAAATTTAAGAAAAATCTTATTAAAACCATATTGTTCAAGGAAGCAATAGTTGTTGTAATTCGATTACCCAAATATAAAACATTGCTCTGAAATTTATAAATGTAATCCTAAATACCTGCAAAAAATGATAACGACAGTGTAGAAAATTCATGACATGCTACTTCCTCTAAACAAAAAATTTACAAAGAAAGTTTTTCATTCTAGAACTACTTGTTTTTTAAGAACAATAAAAAATAAGTAAAAACAAAAAACACAGAACTTACATATATTAAATAAAAGTTTTTGAAAAAACCCAAATTTAAAATTAACATTTTTTTTATGTACTTCCTGAAAAACATTATTCTATGATGTTTTTATGTTAGTATTAAAATACTATTGGATGTTTTTATGTTAGTATTAAATGCTATTAGATGGTTTTATGTTAGTATTAAAATGCTATTGGATGGTTTTATGTTTGTATTAAAATGCTATTGGATGGTTTTATAATAATAATGAAGTAATATTGGATGGTTTTTATATCAGTACTAAAGTGTTATTTAATGGTTTGGTATTATTAATGGAGTACTATTGGATGCTTTTGTATTAGAATTAAAGCGCTTTCTTATGGTTTTACATTGACAACACAAACATATAACGTTTAAAAAACTTGATATATTAAAAATTCAAATCAATAAAAAACTTATGAATACAAAAATGATAAACATGATAATAAAAATCAAAATCAGAAGCATAATGATGAACATGATGATAATAACTGCAAAAGATATGATTAGTAATGTATAAGATGAGATAAATAATGCATAAAATATGATAGATAATGTATAATTATATTAGATTTAGATAAATGCATTGAAAATTAAGACAGTTTCATTTTTTACATGTATTTCTGACCCTAAGAAAAATATAAATCAATTTTTTTTTTAATTTTTTTTTACAAACAAGAGAAAACAATTTCACTTCATATTTTAAAATTAACTAAATCGTACCACCAGGATGAAGAAGTTTGAGTAAACTTTCAACACAACCAAAATTTTGCAATACAAGACGTATTGACACTATAAAAAATGATGTAAAAAACATAAGATGTCTCAAAAAATAATTTGACAACTTTATTTTATTTAATATATTAATGCCTTGAAGTCAAAAATGCTAGCACCAACTTCTTGAAACTTTAGAAATATATATATAAATTTTTTTTTTATACAACCATTTCTCATAAAAAAAAAAAAAAAACATACAGACTATTAGAAAATATTATATTTAAAAAAACACACTTATTTCTCAAGTGTTTTAAAAAAAAGTTCTTCCTAAGTTCCAATTTTGTTGTTAATTATTTTGATATCATATTCTCATTTTCTAGTTTTTAAAAATTTTAGAAAAAAAGAAATTAGCAGTATAAAACAAAGTATAAAACATTACTTTTTTATATTACATAAAAAATCACATAAAAAATCAAACAATAAAAAAGAAAAACCTTAAATTTATTTAACTTTTTAAATCAATTTTTTTGAAAAAAATATTTTTCAAGACAAATTACTTGTGTTTTTTTTAATTTTAGATTCAATTTATTTCAACTTAATGGTAAAAATTACAATTAAAAATACACAATTAAGTTAATCAATTCGAAGGTTAGGATTAAGAGAGTTACAAATTTAATGAAAAAATAAGTAGTCTCCTCGATTTTAGTGGCCTCTTCAACTGTAGTGACATCTCTGGAGTCTTGGGGAGGTGAATTTACTTAATCAAAAAGTGATTACTAAATTAAAAGTTGATTTTGATCTGAAAACTTGACTGCATTATATGTTTAAAACAAATTGTAAGCAATAATTACAAAGTATTAAACTTTTATTATAATAACAAAAGTTTAATATAAAAATAAAATTAGCATTCTTTTCTTAATTTATTCAAAATATAAAAACTATTCAAAAAATACTTATAATTACCTTGAGATGCTAATGAGCTAATGCACATAGCCGCATTTTTTTTCACCATCTTGCTCTCATGGTTTAAAAGTTTTACAGTATGCTCAATCGCTCCTAGCGATAACAGTTGTATCTTATTTTCAATAGCTAAAGTTCAGAAAAAGTATGTACATATTTAAATTAAAAATTAAACAAACTGATTTATAACTGTGAAGATAAAGATGATGATTTGCTTTTTAACTTTGGTTTATAAAATCACAAGACCTCTATATACTGCTCTGTCACATAAATATGGTAAACCTTTAGAAAAGCCTTTCAGAAAAAAGATTTTTACTTGTTACAAAAATTTTTAAAGTAAAACAATAAATATATAATAACTTATACAACTTTATTTATAAAAAATCCAGTGAAAAAAAAATGAAAATACATTTTTCTGCAAACTTGTAAAGTGTTTCACATGCAACAAGAAGTACATTTTCTTCAGGAGACTGTAACATCAGCACAACAGTTTGAGGCTTTTTTGTAACCAAGTTAACTGGATCGAACTTTATATATATATATATATATATATATATATATATATATATATATATATATATATATATATATATATATATATATATATATATATATATATATATATATATATGTATGTATATATATATATATATGCATTATCTATATATTAAAAAAATTAAAATTGATATAAATATATATATAATATTATGATATATATATATATATATTTATATATATATATATATATATATATATATATATTTATATATATATATATATGTATGTATGTATATATATATATATACATAATATTATATATACATAAATATATATATATAATACTATGATATATATATATACATACATATATATATATATATATATATATATATATATATATATATATATATATATATATATATATATATATATATATATATATATATCAGGCTTGGTCAGGAAGCAGGTGCGATCGCACTCAATAATTGAGCACCGAAATAATATTTAGTTGCGAAAAACCGGTCAGATTTTATAGTCGCTTTGAGAAAATTTTAAAAACAAACAAAAAAGCGCAATAAGATTAACTGGACCAATGAGAGACAGTTAAAAAAAGTAAAATAGCTTTTAACGCGAAAAAAACTTTAAGCAAAATAAATTTATTAGAGCAATTATTTTTGAAACGTCGCTCTTTTATAATTTTTTTTTATAAAATTAAGTGACATTTATTATATAAAGTAACAACTATAAAGAAACAAATGTTCTTCAATTTATCAAAGTATATATAATTTTTATTTATATACTTATGCCTTATTTCCAGTTGCGGATTGAGGAGGTGGGATGGGGGTAGTAGGGCTATAGCCTCGGTACTCATAATGTTAGGGGAAATAGTCAAGAGGACCATTCGGTATTTTTTTAGTCATTTTTACGCTATGGCACATAAATAAGGCCGCCAAAATAATGCAGCCCCCGGCCCTTAAAAGTCCAACAAGATTCAACCAATAAAACTAACGCTAGATGATTTATTTATAAATAAAAAAGTTTTTTCAATAACTGTTTTATGCTTCGTGTAGTTTAAAAAGTTTAACACATTTTAAACAACTCTTCTTAGTAAGATGAACAAATGAAATAATTACATCATTGAGTTACTCTATAATTTCAATTACCTAGATAGAAATTAACTAAAAACGTTAAATTACTTTGTGAGGAGGAAGCGGAATTGCTTCACAATAACGCTGATGGTGTTTATTGAGTGGGCTTTATAATTTTAATTAGTATTTAAAACAGAAAAAAGTAACTTTAAGTATAACGAGTTTGTAAGAATGGCTGAAGCAAAAATAATTGAAGTTGGTAAACCAATTTCTAAGAACTTTAAAAATTTTCTTTCTTGGGAGAAAGAATCAGTTATCTGGTACACTGAGGAAATTGGATTAGTGGTTAAAATTATTTGTATTAACTTTGGCGAATATTAATAACTTCATTGAAAACGCAGTTATTATTGAAAGTATTTTACAGATGTAGATGTGGCTCTAAGAATTAAAATAATAGTTCTTTTGATAGTATATTCTTAAAATAATTTATGCTAGAAATCTCACGAAAATGTAACAAAATTCAAATAATACAATTTTTTAAAATATTTCAACAGAATACTCAGGACATTTGGTTAGTATTTTTTGAATAGTCTAGAAATTTCGGTTAATATCTTTGGAACCATTAGAATTAGTTGTTCGTAGATTTGGCGGGTTTTTTGTGTTTGCGAATATTCTTTTTTTATTTTTCCGCACTAAGATGTTTGAGAACATTCAAGTTTATGTATGTTTCCATGTAAGTTCGTAAAACAAAATATTTTGAAATTTACAATAAAATGAATTTATTATTTTGCGGACAAACAAGGAAACATACATAAACTTAAATGTTCTCAAAACGACTAAAAAATCTGGCTGGTTTTTCGCAACTAAATATTATTTCCGTGGTCAGCTATAGAGTGCGATAGCACCCGCTTCCCGACCAAGCCTGATATATATGTATATATATATATCATAATATATATATGTATATCATAATATATATATATATATATATATATATATATATATATATATATATATATATATATATATATGTATATATATATGTGTATATATACATATATATATTTATATATATATATATATATATACATATATATATATATATATATATATATATATATATATATATATATATATATATATATATATATATATATATATATATATATATATATATATATATATATATATATGTATATATATATATATATATATATATATATATATATATATATATATCATAATATATTATCATAATATATCATCAATCAATTTTAAAAACATTTTGATTGAAAAGCATTTTCCTCTCTCTTAAAAATTACATAAAATTTTCAATCTAAATACAAATTGAATTAGCTACAGTTGCACAAAAAATATAGAAAGAATTATAAAAGGTCACAAAAATTCTTTGTTAAACAAAAAAGAATTCCAAAATGAAAAAACTACAGAAAATTGTAATTGTAAACAAAAAACAATTGTCCAATGAGTGGAAGTTGCTTATCAAAAAATGTGGTATATAAATGTGTTGTTTCCTCTAAGAATGTACCTGATAAACAATATATTGGCATAACAGAAGGTGAATGGAAAAAACGTTTTGCCAATCATAAGCAATCTTTTAAAAATAAAAAGTGTTCAAAAGACACCATGCTGTCAAAATATATATGGGAATTAAAAGATAAAAACATTGATAATTTTACACTGAATTGGTCCATCCTTAAAACAGTGCCTGCATATAACGATATTTCCAAAAAATGCATACTATGTCTACAAGAAAAATTTGAAATAATTACACATACAAACCAAGAATGTTTATTAAACAAAAAATCGGAATTGATTTCTAAATGCAGGCACGAAAATAAGTTTCTCCTAAAAACTATAAAAATAAGTGAGCTCAAATAATAGTTACATTAACTCCACTTTGAAAAAAATATATTATTTTTTAAAAAAGCTTAAGTAATAATTTCTAAAGAATTCTTTTTACAATAGTGTCAGCAAATTACACAAATGTGTGAAAAATTGCAGTAGTTAAGACATGTGACTTCCTGTAATTTAATTTTTGGTATAAATTGAAGTTTTATTAATTTGATCATTCATTTCTGATGAGTCTTTATTGATGAAACACAGTGTTAAATGAGAAAAAATTTTCTACTAATTTATATATATATATATATATATATATATATATATATATATATATATATATATATATATATATATATAAATTATATATATACATATATATATATATATATATATATATATATATATATATATATATATATATATATATATATATATATATATATATAAATTAGTAGAAAAAGTACAAAAGAAAACATAAAAAAGATAGATAGACAAAAAAAACATAACAAAAAACTAAAAAAGAGATGGCTAAATTAGATGGGTGATTACCGCGTGTAGTAAATTTAAGAAGTGTAATAAATTTAAAAAGTAGTATACCAAAATAAAAGCTGAGTAACTAAAGATAAAGCTAAAGTTATATACTACTAAAGAAATATAATGAGCTACTCAAACTGGGTGGAATGTTCTAATTGTCTTTGTTGGGACATATTTGAAAACTAAAAATTGAAATTTAAGTATAGTCAGATAGAAAAGTTAAAGTTAATATGTCGTAATTGCATATTACTGAGTCTACTAAAAGATGAAATTATTTATTTAAAACAAATTATCAAATTAACGAGAAACAAATTACAAAAGAAGTAAAATTGACAACTGAATTTATTAACAAAACAATCAGAGATAATGTAAATATAAGGTTAAACGAACATTTAAATACAAACAAAATCAATCATGAAAATGCTCAAACATAATTCACAAAAAGATTAATAACAGTTTATTAATTACTAAGGACGGAATTATGGAAATAAACTACCTGAAAAATAGTAATGATGTTGATGATATTATTAGTTACATAAATAAAAATTATAAAATAAGCCAACATATCGTTAAAACATATAATTTAATGTCAGAGACTTGGAAAACCTTGCAGCACCATAACCAGACTTCTGTGTATTAAAACTAAGGACAAAGAAACAGGAATGAAATTACTTCAAATATGGAAGAAATACAGAAAATAAATATGAGGGACCAACAGTTCACATAAGACCAGATTTGACTAAGCAGCAAATAGAAGTTAATAAAAAATTGAGAGTTGAGCTTAACATATTGGGTAAAGACAATTAAAAGATTAAATTAAAAAATTAAATTAACATATTGGGTAAAGACAATTAAAATTAAACAAAAAAAAAGGAAAAATTATTAAAAGAAATCAAGGTTATCACCATAAAGTACCAGTAGTCGCTGGATATAAGAACAGTTCATAATACTAAAACAAATGATACAAAAACTATTGAAGAAAATCAAAACAAATTAAAATTTAAACTAAACAGGATAAGTGAAACCATTACGAATATTGATAAGGAAACCTCAGAGAATGAAAATGATAAAAGTATTTTGGACATTAATATCGATATAAATATTAGCAGAGCAGAAAAAGAAAATAGTCAATCTATGTCCAATTATATTGAAAATAAAAATAAAACAGATACAGATAAAGAACACATTCACTCAAATACACAAATAAAGATTAGAAAAATCCATAAAACTAATACTACCTCTGTAATAGGCTGTTCACACGAGGGTACATTTGATGGAACATTCCATGGATCATGAACAAATATCCTCTCGTGTGAATGCAAATGGAACAAAAATTCAAGGAACATTTGAGGAACTTTTGTACCGTCCTGACAACCCAGAACAAATAAATGTTCCGGAACATTTATTTGGTTTTGTATAAAAAATGGTGCCTATTTTCAACTATTTTTAAAATAAGCGTATGCATATAAGCTAAATGATTCAATAAAAATGCATTGCAAGATGCAAATTTGTTGTGAAAGTAACTCAAACTATTTTTTTTACAAAGTTGTTGTCATCTTAACCAGAGTTTTTAGTCCTTGATCTCTGCATTGTCCTAGGTCTTGGTCATATATCAAGACAAGATTATCGATATACTATTTGCCTTTCAACATGTTGCCTTGAAACTTTTAGTTTTTGCCTTCCATCTTTTTTATTGAATTCAAAACATTTCTTCAAATATAATTTCATATCTTTATTCATTGAGTAAAAACTTGTGGTAATTTCATGCAACCAAGGAAATTCCGATCCCACTTGTGTGGGATCAATCATGAGTAGACCAGATGGTGGGCAATTATTTAAAAACAATTATTGACCATCACAAATTTCAAGTTATTTTTATCGATATTTAAAATTTGTATAAATAGAATAGAAATTTAATTATTAATGTATTATTAATTTAAAAAGAAGTTCTATATGTGTGTTTAAAAACTTAATCTTAAAATATAACATTACAAAGACAGTATTATTCTTATTAAAATCAGTTTTAATTTGAATTAACAAGAAGTATAATTCAAGGTAACATTTAACTTGCGTTAAGAAAGTTTAATTTTCATTGTTTAATAGTTTTTATTTAATTATATTCTTGGCAAGCATTGCTATTAATGCATTTTTAATAAACTTATAGTAATTTTATTTATAAAATTCAACTTTGAACTAATAAGCAGAGTTGTTTATCATTGGCCTTGCCAACAGTGATAATAATAACAAAAATAATAATAATAATTATTATAATAATTATAATAATAGAATAATAATAGTAATAATAATGATAACAATAACAACAATAACAATTGTTAATATTATTATCATTATTATCATCATTGTTATTATTATTTATATTAATATTATTAATGATATTATTATTGGTATATATTGTTATATATGAGCTTTGTCATATATTTTATTTATATGTATATATAAATAAAATATATAATAAAATATATAATACATATATATTTTATTATAATAGCTTTGCCTTATCTTGTTATTTTAATTTGTGAACATTATCATTAGTATTTTCCTCATAAATATTCTGTATTTACTTAATATTAGTTAATTTACTGTTTGTGAATAATTGTGAAAGTAAGACCTTTATTCAGAATATATATTATTGATTGACTGTATTGATATGACTGTACCTTATATCTTTGCCACAATGTACTACAATTATTGACATTTAAAAATAAAAATAAACAATAGTGTTGAAAGATCAATTTTATTAAATAACATAATTATCACATTGCATGGAAAAGTAAAAAAAAGTAAAATTAGCATCTGAAAGTTTCTGTTCTCTTGGCTACCAGATTTTGGCAATTTATTAAATTATTTAGTAAGCCCATAACATTATTAAATTATTTTAAGCCCATAACATTTATAGCAATTATGAAGTTTAACCTTTAATTTTATTATTAACTATTTCTCTTCTTTTTGTTGTTGTTGTTTTTATTGTTGCAAGATTCAATGTACTTATCCTTTTTAGTAGGTAAAACTTTAATTTTACACAATGTCTCAGCATTCAGAAAAAGAGTGTATTGACGCTAGCACAACAAATATTGGTCTTTGCACATCTCCTTTAAATAAATTTGTATGGAATATGGCTAACACAAGAGTATTATTAGATTTAAGGAAAGATAATTACAAAGCATTAACATCTGCAAGAAGAAACACAAATATTTACAAACAAATGGCAGCTGAATTTTCAAACACAATTAATATCGTACCTCCGTTAACTGGATATCAAATTCAATCTAAAATTAGTAATTTGAGGAAGCAATTTAGGTATGTACATATTCTACATTTAATGTTTGATACCTTACTGAAATACTGAAAGTATTTTACAAAACTAACCATGTGTAATAATATCAATAAAGTCAATTCTAATATGCCAGCATATTATACCTTGGTCAATCCAAAGCGCAACTAAAGAGGCTAGATGTAATACAAAAGCAGTGTACCTGAATTATCTATCATAAACCTAGGAACATTCATTCAGCTATCCTTTTGGACAAACTAAAGCTGTGCACCCTGGGGGAGAGAAGAAATGTTCATGCAACAAGAATAGTCAAGTCAGTATTGTCGGGAGTATGTCATCCATCGATTGCTAACATGTTTAAAATAAGCATTGACTCAAACCTTATTGTTAAAAAAGCAGCAAACCAACAAGAAAGTAAAGGATTTGATATTATAGGGGCCAACATATTTAACAGAGTTGTCTCCTAATATATCCATCGTGTTATGCCATTGGCATAACACGATGGATATATTAGGAGATACTACTCAAGGAGATACTACTCAAGCAGTGGAAGAGGAACTTAAAAAAAAATGAACCAAAAATAAAAGAACAAAAAAAAATTTTTTTACTGATTTTATTATATAAATTATAAAGTGATTGTAATTATAAAGGCAAAGTTGTTCAACTGTTATTGAGTTTAAATAATAATAATGTTAATAACAATAATAATAACACACATATATAACCATATATATAACATATATATGATAAAATTTAAAGTTTAAATTTTTTTAAAAATGAATTTAGAAGACCAAAAAAATATTTATTTGTCATATATCAAAATAAGAAAGAAGAAATAATATACTTTTTTTAAACTTATTTACCTCGTCTTTTGGTGGTACTGCTTCTTTATTTTTTTTTTTAACCATTGTATTAAATGAAAGAGTAACAGCTAAATTAAAAAAATTAAAACAGAAAATAATAAGTTGTCAAAAAAACACATACACTCTTTAAATAAATAAAATAGAAAATAGTAACCCAAAATCAAGCAAGTTACTGTAAGACCTTTTATATAATTTTAAAACAGTTATAAAAAGATACCTGCTAACTACTGAAGCTTTTATTTATTGTAAATATCTATAAAGATCCTTTTTAATAATATTTTGTTGTTATTTCTTTTAAGATTAAAAAAGAAGTTCTTTTTCTGATTAAACTTGGTTTATTGAGTTATTTATATTATTATGTATGTTATGTGTATACTACTTGTATGTGTATAGTGTATGCTACTTTTTATAATAAATATAATATTCTAAAGACAACCAAAGAAAAACTTCATTTTATAAAACTTTGAAATTAAATTTTTTTCTCTTGAACTATACAAGCAGCTATATCAAGTCTATATCAAAAAGCATCATAAATTTTTACCGATTAGATCAATGATGTAAAACTATTATTGTTATTGTTTTTTTTTTTTCTTTATTTTCATAAAATTAATTAAATTTAATTAAACATTTGTGTTGTGCACTATTTAAACAACTTACATTATTATTTGTTTACTTTTTATTATTAGATGTAAATCGATTGAGCAGTTTGTAATTATATGAGTAATATTTAACTTAATATTATAAATTTATAATACATTTTGTAAATTTCTTCATTATGATCAAATAGTCTGAAAAATAGGAATAATAAAAATAATACAACAAAGTTCTAATATTTTACTCAAAATAAATATCAAAAATAAAATAAAATTATTTAAAAATTGATGATATTTTCAATACAAAAGAAGAAATAAAATTAAAAAAATAATACAAAAAACAATAAAATAAAAAGAATTTAGCAACTATTAATAGATGTTAAACAAACGAAAACTTTTTGAGCACAAAACAATTCTAAAGATAGCTAGCTAACTTATCATGTTTTTGTTTTGTTTTAATTGTTTTACATTTATGCATATGTTAATTAAAATACAACAATATAAAGTGCTTGTTTAAAAATAAATAAAATTACTGTAACGATTTTAAATATTTATTGTAATAAGCTGACTCATAGATGATATTGTAATGAAATGAATATTTATTTATTTGAAGATTTATGATTAAATAATATTATTAGGTTCATTTATTTGTACACATTCAATAAACATTTTTAATGTATAAATATTAACTGATATTTTACAATTGTGCAAATTATTTTAACGAATGAAGAAACTTTTATAATTTGCCAGCATGATTTTCGTTTAATTCAAAATGAATAGTCTAGATATATTCAAACAAACTAATTAAAAAACAAACAATATTATTAAATAATTTTATTATTATATATATTTTATACATTTGAAAAAGATAAAGTTTGTTTGATTATCGGTGTAACTAAGCAACGGTTCGCTTTTTTTCAAGATATTTTTATTTAGCTAAGGAAGTATTAGCGATAAAGTACTCCAAATGCCAGATTAACCCGGGCGAATAGGCACAATTGCGCCCGGCCCATTAAAAAAGGGATTCCAGCAGGGGTACCCAAAACATATAAGTCACTACAGTTGTGGGTTTGTTGGGACCTCATTATCGCTACAGCAAGGGTATAAAAATGTATATAAAGTAGTGTTGTTATTGACTTCGACTAAATCGACTAAAAGTCGTTTAGTTGAAAGTCGAAGTTGTTCAACTTTGAATAGTCGAATAGCCAATTTGATCGACCGTGAACTTACTACAAATCAACTAAAATTCGATTTAGTCGAGTTAAAATCTTAAAACCTATAATCTTAAACCCTTAATCTTAAAAAAACTTAAATATCTTTTCACTTGATTTAACTTTCAATCTTTAATCTTTATTAATTGATTATAAATTTTGTTAATAGCTATAATAGTACATACAATAGTATGTAGTATTATAGCTATAATAGTACATACAATATAGTACTAGCTATAATAGTACATACTATTGTATGTACTATTATAGCTATTAAGGGTCGTTCAAAAACTACATTTTGCAATTTTTGACCGTTTTTTATAAATACTTTCATACAACTCCAAACTGCCTCAAGGTCCTGGGCCAAAATTAAGTTGTGAAGCTCCAAAATCTAAGTGTCATTAATTTATACAACCACATTTTAAATAATATCTTAAGTATATATAAAGGTCCCTAGATTGTTGGGGTCTGGAAATAGATTGTCCCGTTGTCGGAGTGGCTCTTCTCTCCTCTTTTATTATTTAAACAATATGGTATTAAAAAATAGAATGCGAATATAAGTTACAATATAATTTTTATTACATTTTTTTTTTTTTAATAAATGATTTCCAAAATTATTCTAGCATAACACCATATTAAGATGATGTAAAATTAATATTTTAAAATTATAACCTTATAACTATTGACTGATCATAGTTGCCGTCTAATTTGATTGTTTGTTGTAAATTTTAAATGAGATATGCTGTTGAATGTTATTATTTGATATTATCATGTCACTCTTGCTCCAACTGTCATTACTATTAATTTAGTGAAATTGATTGAAACTACATTTGAAAATAACTGCTAAGGTGAGAGCTTCATAAATTAAAACTATATAACTGGCATTCGTGATATATATTTTACATAGGTTTTTGTCTAAATTAAATATTGTGTGATGATTTCGCCACAGAATGATGGAAAGTTTAAAAAAATATATATAATGTACAATAGTTTTGTTTCTAAACAATACTTAATATTATTATTTATTAATATATAAACAATTTTATAAAATCTTATATCAGGAATTATCAGGAATTATTGTATGATAAATTTATTAGAAGTATATTGAAGATATAAACTAAAATACTTTATAATTTAACTTAAAAATAATTTTCTAAAATTCTACTAAAATTTTGTATTTGAAAATGTCATTTGTTCCAATTGAATGCATTTCTAATATTCGCATTTCTTATGATTGTATGCTCACCATCGCTGATTGTTTATAGCCACTATATCGATTAGCATGTTCAAAATACACTATCATAAAATGCAAGCGTCGATATTTAAAAAGATAGTTATTACGCCATTCGGTAATAATTATCTTGTTACATTTTTCCCCCTAAGTAATGAAATCTAAAAGTCATTGTATATTACCATATGTTTCAAATGGTATGCAAGTATCTCCCAAAAAAAAGAAATTCAATAGTGATACCATATCTCCATTTAGCTATTCAAGCTGCTAAAGATGACGGTAAAATATTAATGGCAGCAAAAACATTTGGAGGGCCGAGATTAATGCTAAAAGATAAGATAAATGAAAGTCGATAAACAAGCTTTGTGGGAGGAAAAACAGTGCTTACAAAGCAACAGGTACAAGCACTTGTAAACTCATTGCAGCATGTGCGGAGTAACATGGGTGGATTCATCAGAAGACTGGCTCCAATACGTTTCTAGTCTTATATGGGCTTTTGCATGTGCACAGAATGTGCTTAATTTGATAAAATATAGCTTTAACTTATTTTAAATCGCCCCATAGAAGGCGAGATCGCCCCATATAAGTGTTTAAATACAAATCGGAGTTCATGAGTATAAATAATTTTTTTTTTTAATTTTCAAACGCGATCGAACTAAATATAGTTTTCTCATTAAGTTAATGGTATACGGATTCAATATTATTCAGTTCATGGTAAAAGCGTATCAGATTGAAAAGACAACATTAAAGCAACAAAAGTGGCGAAATCGCCCCGATCTACCCTATTAGTCGATTTTGTCGTAGGTCAAATTATTGAATAGTTGTAACAACACTAATATAAAGTCTAGCCTTTAATACATAATATTATAATATTATGTATTAAAGTAAAAAAAATTATAATATATCAGTCATGTGACTGAGCGGAATAAGAATGTACGCATGTTAATCAAAATAAATAAAAAATGCCATAACTTATTTTTGTGATTAATTGGTTTTCCAGTTAGTTTTTTTGTCATATGTATATTTTTACTTTTAACCTTTTAATTTAATTTACATACTTTTTTTTTTTTAAACTGATAAGGCTGAAAGAGCTTAACTTAAGTTATGAGCATAACTTAAATTGAAAAAGTAAAGAGCATAAATGAATAAAATATCATAATAAAATAAAGCATCATAATAAAATAAAGCATCATAATAAAATAAAGCATCATAATAAAATAAAGCATCATAAATGAAGCATCATTAAGCTATTCTTAGCATTATTCCAAAGCAGCATAAACATTAAAATACAAGAAACTAGATGCGCAGTTTTTTTAGTACGAGTTGGTGGGAGTAGAGAGAGTGAAGTAGTTATAAATAGCACTGACAAATTTGGAATTAAACACTTTTTCATTATTATAGACAAGTCGAAAACCTGATCGAAAGAAAGATTTACTGTTTAGTAGTCTGCAGAGAAGAGGTTTGGTTTTTAAACTAGTTGTCCGACCATAACCGTTCTTGTAATTTTTGATGCTGCCAAGCCCCTGTGTACTATTTATTCTTCAGACATAGATACACATTATCATGATAAAATTTTCCAGTTTTACAAGTTCATGACAACTATTAAGAATATATCAGCACTAGGATGGTTCTTATGAATGTTGACATTACATATCGGAACTTTTTAACCCTTCCCATTACCGATTATATTGCAGAGAGTGCATTTTCGAAAATGGCAAGTTTAAAATGATATCCATTCCTCAATGTTAAATGATCGTTTAAATGCTCTTTTTTCAATGACAATTCAAATAGTTCTGTTGCACAATATATATTTTGAAGATTTTGTAATTGACATTTCCAATGTAAAAGTTAGAAAAATTTCTCTGTGAATAAATTTCATTTTTTGTTGCATTTATATATTTTTTAGGAATTAAGCCCCTTAAAATTTTTTGCACTCAGCCCCCGAGACCCCTATTTCGGCCTTGAGTACTTCTATTTTACTTTCATGATTTAACTAAAACTTTACGACAACGGATATTTAAATAGCTGACGAATATGATTAATAAAAAATTTCTTATATTTTGTTAATAGCTGAATACCATTATGTTATTTGATGCCGCAAGACGTCACACGATGCTTGACGGCTATAAACTACTCTAATAGGCTCTCTTGTCTAACTAGCAGTATCCGGTATCTTTCACGTCGGTAAACAAAAAAGACTATCCTTTTATTAGGAAGAATACCTTTCTAAACCCTCAGTTGATGGATGCGAACTCATTATTTAACCCACCCAGTGGGCACAAGGCGTGCTATAGACGTGTTAATACGTGTTTAATACGTTGCGGTAATTCCTGACCGTTCTAAACGGTAGCAGACGTAAAAGAAACTTAATGTCGGAAGGGAGTTCGACAATAGAGCATACTTTATCTAAAAGGAGAAAAAAAAAATTAAAAAAAAGCACGTGAATTTCTCGACGCTTTTTCTTTTTGTTTATTTTCCAATTAAATTAATTTTGACTTGCGACTTAAATGCGACAGCCAATTGCGATGATTAATTTTTTTTTCCTCGTGTTTCAATTTTTTATTTAATACTATCTTTTTATTAGGATTATTTATTACAGTTAAATTGTTTAATTGGCTGGTAAATGTTACATACAGTTTTAGGCTAAATAAAGTTAATGATAGATCTCAAATAATTTATATTTCTAATTAATTATGATATTATGATAAACCTTGTATCTATATTTTAATACAGAAAGTATCTGTTTGTGAGATTTATTGCAACAAATGATGTTTGAAATTTACATTTACAATAAACAACATAGCTAGATAAACATTCATCAAGTTATATAAATTGTTTATGTGTGTTTAACTTCATGTATTAATCTATATATACAAATACTTTTTAAAAGTTTTAAAATTTTATCCTAATATAAATTGTAAAACATTTTAATATAATAAAAAAAAGTAGTGATTACTGTACTAAGATAATCTTAAATACATAAATGTTTTAAATTATCCTAGTATCTCAATCGATTACATTTTTTTAAATATGGCTAAACCAATTTTTTTGCATTCTTGTCAGATTTTACTAGAAAAATAGTATATTTTCTAGTTTAACTCAAAAATGTTATATTTTCTGCATCTAATTAAAGGAACAAAGTTGTTATAATATATAACAAACAGTTCCTGTTCCTTTAATTAATTGCTTAAGACTTTCAATTAAAGAAGGAAAATAAAAATAATAATGAAAAAACATTTTGCCATAAAAGTCTTTTATATCTAGATTGTACATACCCAATCCAACTCCTCATTCAATATGTGTGATACTATATCAGAAAATGAAAAAAAAAATTGTAAAGTATGTCAACCTGTGTCCCAAATGTAGTAAATTGTGTTAAAATTTCATGAACAAAAATTATTTTTTTGTCAAAATTAAGAAGTTAAAAAAAATAAATGAAAAAATGAAATGAATTTAAAAAATGTATTTTAAAAAAATGAAAAAATGAAATTTTATATTTTATTAAAAAAGCAATAGTTTTTATGCAATGACTAAATAAATTAACCTAAAATGATAACTTTATATAAAATATTTATCTTTTTTTAACAACAATTTTAATGTTACTTTCCTTTTGAGATCCAGGTTGACACTTTTATAAAAGTATCTTGTTTATAATATAAAGGACCCTTTAAATGTCCTAAGATCATATTGCACTCCTAACAATATATTTTTAGGGTTGCCACAGGAGGTATGAATAATTCTTTTAACGATAGTTTTAACTACCACCCTTGTTGTGGGATTTTTTTTTCCAACTAAATATGCTATTAAACTAGACTACTATTATTTTATTGTGTTTTTAATTATTTTTCTTTTTCAAATTTGTTTGTTTTATAGTGAATATTTAGGCCTATCTGATTTTTGAATAGATTTTGGTGACAGAATGGGAGACGAAGATTGGGATGAAGAAATTTCAACTGGCGTAGTTCCTATCAGGGAAATAAAAAGTTTTACTTTAGAAGAATCTTTTTCTAAACATCAAAGTGATCATAAAAATCAACCTGCTTTTCAAAATGGCTCAAGTTCATATCATGGCAGAAGCAGTGGGAAGATGCAGAGGTTTCCTTTATTTTTACTTTATTTGAAATTGAATGTTAAGAAACAACTAAATAATCAGAATTTTCATTTTTTCATGCTCAAAAGCATGTTTGTATTCATGGCTGATGACTACCTTCAGGAATGAAACTTTAGGTCCTGCTAATCAGTTGTTTTGATTCATATATATATATATATATATATATATATATATATATATATATATATATATATATATATATATATATATATATATATATATATATATATATATATATATATATATATATATATATATATATATATATATATATATATATATATATATATATATATATATATTAGAGTGCCTCTAAAAATAACTTTTTTGAAATAGTCTGCTGCCACCTCCTAAATGTGTTCTATGTAATGAGTTAACACTAAATTAGAAAATTTTTTGAATAAAAATTTTTTTTCGGGGTCACTCAAGATCCTTAAACATCAAACGGGTCCCTAATATTTTGAAAAAAAAAGTTCTTTAAAAGTATATCATGTTAGGTTTCAAAAAAAGTGAAATTTTTAAAAAAATTTTAAAAATATTAATCATTATATATAAAGATTACTAGTTTAAATTTTATGACTTAAAAACTATTGTTTTTAAGCCATAGTATATATAATTTTTAACATATTTTGACACATAATTTTTAACAAAAAATCAAAAGTATATAGTTTTTTTTTAAATAAACTTTTTTAATTTGTGTTTCCTATAAATTGTTTTAATTATTTTAAATTTTTTTATAAAATTTTACTTTTTTTGAGACCCAGCGTGATATACTTTTGAAGAACTTTTTTTTTTCAAAATATTAGGGACCCTTTTGATGTTTAAGGGTCTTGAGCAACCTCTAAAATTTTCTTTTATTCAAAAATTTTTTAAACTTAGTATATATATATATATATATATATATATATATATATATATATATATATATATATATATATATATATATATATATATATATATATATATATATATATATATATATATATATATATATATATATATATATATATATATAGCTCTATTATTTGATAATATTGAGCACTGTAACACTTACAAGAGTTACAGTGCTCAATCTAAAAAAAAAGTTACAGTGTTAAGAGTTACAGTGCTCAATCTTAAAAAGTCTCATATTATTACCTCAAAATACATATATATCTATGTCTATAAAAGATATATATATATAAATATATATATATATATATATATATATATATATATATATATATATATATATATATATTTATATTGTGGTTACAAAACTTACTCAATTCCTTAACTTTTAAACATAGTTATCTATTGTTTAAACCGAATAGGTTTTTTATAATATAATAATTAATATGCTAGGGTCAATGTCAAAATTTGAAGTTGGTGCTTTCTGATAGAAACTCTGAGTTTTTCTTTCATGCATTAAACAAGAAAGTCTAGATTCCCAGTTTTGGGTTGAATCTCCTTTTAAACTTCAATGTTGTTTTGTACAGTAAGATCATATTCAGCGACATCCAGAGCAGTTGCAAGTTTCTTAATGACTGCTTCTTCAACTTGCTTTATTTTTCTCTTTCCAAGTGAATGTTTGTTTGAGGTTTTAAGAAAATGAAATTTTAGAGAAGACACTTCTAGTTCAAATACTGTTGAGCAATGATCTGAGTGATTCTAGCATAGTTTCTTTCTCCATATCATCTTCAATTACTTTTACCGTTTTTCTGATTCTTCAATTGATACTAATTTATTTCTGCATTGTGGTTAAAGCTTTTCACCTGGTACTACAAATTTGCTTTTACTGCATAAAAGTTTTGCTGTATCCAAGTTGGTTTCGCAAGAATGCCTGAAAAAAAAGAAAAGAACTCTTTTAATCTATATAAAAATATTACTAAAATCATTCAAAGTTAAAAGTTGTATGGCATATAATTGTGCTCTTTTAGAAGTTAGCTAAAGGTAAGGTTAAATATAACTAAAATAGAACTTGGCTGCCATGTATTTTATTATTTTAATTCTCAACATTTTTACATTGGAAATTTGAAAAAAAGGTGTCTTTACTATAAATACCTTTTTTAATGTTGTTACGGATATTAAATGAGTTTCAGCAACATGACCACTTAGTTGCATAATGCTTCAAAAAAACATGTTTATGATAGAGACAATATATTAATTTAACATTGATTATTGATAGCCCAGTCCTCCACATTACTATTTCTCTTTCATAATCAGGAATATCTTCAAAGTATTATATTCCAAGCAACAGTATATATGTTGTGTGATGACATTCAGGTTGATTCCAATAGAGAATTGTTGATTAATTGGTATAACTAAGAATAATTATTTAATGTAAACTTAAAACAATTTTTATGCTTTATACATTATAGCTGGCATTTCAAAACTATATTTTTACATTGCTAATGTCATCACAAAGCTATATTTGTACATCACAGCTGATGTCACAGAACTATAATTTTATATCACTTATGCCCTCATAAAACTTTATTTATACACAACCAACCTCAAAAAAATATTTTTATAAACTGCAACTAAACCCATGAGAGTCAGGCAACTCCAAGATTTAGTATTATCTCAGCGTTTTGATTGACTGCAATCTTTCGTGGAATTTTCATATTGATGAACTAAGCAAGAACTCGAGCTAACACAGGCTTGTACAGGAATGGCATGCAATCATGCACTATTGTTGACCACGCAAATGATTTTTTTTTTGACCATACTTGACCATAGCGTTTAGATGTTTAGATGATGTTCAAACATTCTAGGAGTGCACTGAAAAAACAAACGCTAGCTAAACTTAAACTAGAAATTAAAAAAAAGAATAATGCAAATAGAAAACAATTCCTTATGAATAGATATATTTAAGCACTAAAATAAAACTCGAAAAATTTAACTTGAAGCAAAAGTTACTTTTTGTTTCATTTTTAATCGCGTTTAAAATAAATAACTTTAAAACTTATCTTTTTAAACTTTTTTTAAAGTTTCGTAAAACGCATTTATAAATTACTTCTAGTGATTGTTTAATGAATAAACAAATTTTATTTAAATTATTAAAAAGTCTTATATATATTATTTTTAAATTGTATAAACATTTATTTTTTCCAAAAAGTTGCACAAAAAAAAAAAATGTTAAAAAAAATATCGTAGTCTGTTTAAAATGATAATTTTAAATCATTTTATGCTCTGATTAGTCAAGTTAAAAAAAAGGGTTTTAATTTGTTGTAAAAATAGAAACAAAAAAAAAATGAAGCAATTTAATCATTGCATTGCAACGGAAGATTTAATTTAGCTTATTCAGGCTTATTCAGGCTTATTCAGGTCAGGAAGGTATGCGATTTCAAGTCTTTATATGAACACGCAAATAATATTTAGTTTTGATGATTTAACCACGGTTTTTAACAAATGCGCTGAAATAATTGGTTTTTAATTATGTTGAAAATAAATTACTTCGACATGTTTATCTTTACTAACGTTTTTATTTAGCAAAATGCTTTTAAATTAAAGTATCATTAAAAGTTGTATAATTTTTTTATTTATATTATTTAATTATATAAGATTTTTTTATAAGTCAAAATAAAGAAGTAAAAATTAAAAAAAAAAAATTTATAAGCAGTGACTTTAAGGTGGTCCTCCACTCAAAAGGCTAACTTTTGATAGCAAAGAGCTTTTAATTAAAATTTTTACCAAAAATGTGGTTCTAAAAACTATTTACAAATATCAACTTAAAAAAAAATGTCTCAATTACCCAATTATTTAAAAAAAGAATTAAAAAAATAGTAATTTTTGTGACAAGCTAGCAATCAAAATACTTATCATATCAAGCTGAAAATTGGTATACTCATTGAGGTATATTAATCCAGTTAAGAGATTAATATATCTCACAATAAATTATCACAATATATAAAAAGTTACAACATTTGAAACAAACATTGAAAAATTGGTAACGGAATGGCCAACATTAGTCTCATAAAAAAGTACTTTCCTTATTTTTTTTTAAATATCGTTCTCTCATCCCGATCCTTTTTAAATATGTGAAAAATCAAAAAAAAATTAGATTAAAAGCTTAAACCAGTCCAAAGTTATCATGTTTTAAAAATTTGTATTTGAGGCATAACCTTATTCTGAGAAAATGACAAATATATAAAACAAAAGAATAAAACCAAAATAAATAGTTCAAAAAACATATGAAAACCCTCCAGGAATATATTCTGAGTTTTTTTCTTTATCATTTTTGTTTAAGTAACCCTTTTTAATTGTTCTTAGTTGTTTTCTTCTTTTTTTGACAGTCAGTGGACTCTTGAAGAGACCGCTTTATAGTTTCTTTCTTAGGATATAGAAGTTCTGCATAGAATCGATCACAGATTTTTTTTTTTTTTTAACATCTTCCCTTCCAACAAGGCTCTAGGCAACCACTAATTAGTGTTGGAAGTTACTGGAAGAGAAAAGATGAAGATTGTAGAGCAAGATAACGATTGACAGACGACATGAAAGGTTGCAAATTATATGAATCAGGAAAGCACGATGAAGGAAGCGAATTCCAAAGAACTGATGTTCGAGGAAAAAAACTAGACGAATAAGAGTTTTTGGAGCACTTAGGAACAGTAACAGAAAAAGGATGAGACTTAATTGAATGACCAGTAACACAAGAATGAATTTTATTAGATAGCACAAGAGAGGCTAGCTCTTTAGAGTAGTGCCCATTATAGTATTTGTAGAAAAGAGAAAGAGAGGCAACATTACGACGATGTGACAAAGGTTGAAGGTTGGGTGCAAGAGCAGGTCCAACTATGTTTACAATGTGTTTTTGCATCTTGTCTAAAAGAGAAAGAGCATCATTAGAATATCTGCCCCAGATATGGCAACAGTATTCCATACAAGGCCGGATTTGAGATTTATAGAGATAGAAAATAGAATCCAGAGTAAGAAAGTGACAAGCTCGATAAAGAGAAGCAACTTTAGCAGATGCTAATTTTACAATGGATTTGATATAAGG